CGACATCTGGTGAAAATTTCATGTCATTAGTACCTCTAGTAATATATTTACTGAGAAAAATGTTGACGTGTTCAATACTTATTTTACCCGATGTATTAAGTTACATTTTCCTTTAGATTTCCCTAAATTATTACATACCTGGTTTCTTGGCCCTCTGAGCAGCTCTGTCATATCGTGCAACCTTTAGGGAAGATTTGTTAGTTGTAACTTCAACTGACTCTGGGCGCTGAGGGAAGATGGATGGAACATAGTCTGGATGGGACTGGACATTTACTTTCTGTCCTAAAGATAACAAAGACAATAATTTACAGAGAAATATCAGATGAAAATGTAGGGCTTGTGAATAAAACTAAGAAATTAAAACTTTCTGTTCTATCCTAATCTGATCTTTGCTTATTTGTATTCTGTTTCAGAAATCTGAATAAACTAAAGAGTTTAAAAAAGGGGGGTTGGGGGGGGGAACTACACTCTCACAATAAAAGACAACAGAGAGAACATGGAAAATGGAGGAGTTGTTCACTATTTATCCTCCAGTTTCACTTTGGTTATCAGCACGATTTAAAAACTGTTGTAAAGTTCTAAGTCACTAGTTTTGACTAGAATTACTACAGTCTCAGAAAGGGTGCATTTTTACGTATTTGACTCAACACTGGCCGGGCAAGTGCATGGACTACTGATGTTTAAACAATTACAGTGCTAACAACTGTTATAAATGACCTATATTTTCTTTTTATGTTTCTAAAAGCAATACAAATACGTACCGGTAATAAAATGTGCCGAACACACATACGTGTGCTTGCTTCGTGGTGACCAAAGCTTTGCAGGATTTACAGATCCATCTGGGTTTTGGATGCCTCTGTTGACTGCCGCTTTCCATTTCTCCCTTCTGGCTCCTGATGAAGGAAAAATGAAGAACTTTCTATCGGGATGTTTTTTTATGTGCGAAGTGCAGTACTTAACGCAGCAGCTTTTCACCATTTCACCAATTTCACCCGCCGAAGCACTCGTTGTTTTCCCCCAAACAAATATGTCTGCCTACTTCCGCAACACGGTCACGTGACAAAGTACCCGGCTGTTTGAGCTCGAGAAAACACCGGTTCTGTAGTAAAAAGCACTAAATGTAGAAACCTACACCCCTGGCATAGTTCATTTTGGTTTTGTTGTTTCTGTTCTCTTCTCCTGTTCTGTTTTTATATATTTGTAATTATATTGACGTGCAAAAAAATTATCAAAAAAGAATCCCTTGCGCAGAAAAATTTACAAGGCTTAAGCTTCAAAATACTTTCATCCACATTATTTGTTATTTAATGTCTTTAAATACATTTCTACTTTAAAGCTCATTGCCCACTATAACCCCACAAAAAATAAAAGATTCATATCAACTTGGTAAATGTTATTAGAGCTGCTAGTCGAGAGGTTTTGCCATCCTTAATTCATATTTCTGAATTAAACCTACAGCTATGTCACTAACAGATTTAACTTAGCACAAGGATCAGGACACAACATAATAACCTACAATGTCAAACCAGTAAACACAACAACAAGGTGTCAGTCAAGTAAGGACCTCTTTTATTTTATTATTTGTTTAAACAAGGTTTGTTTATTTTCTAACAGCCTGATCTGCCACTTGAATGTTATTGTGTTAAAATCATATAAGTCGCGAAATAAAGTTAAAAAAGGGTAATTGTGTAACATTATATAAATTATTGGAGGAACCATTAACAAAATCCATCATTCGATTCCCGTCACAGTTTTGGGGTCATGGTTTTCAGTCTGATTCCCTCTTTTTCCCCCCTATTTTGTCATCACTCCTGTAATACATCAGCATCAGATACTCTGCAACTAATGGTTTTTAAAATGTGTCACTCTCAAAGTATATAAAAAATATATCAGTGTCTAATCTTTAAAATAAGTTTTCTTGATGCTGTCACCGAGTTGGTTGGTGTTTTAGAGACATGCTCACTTGTGAACATCTGCAAAAACAAAACAAAAAAATGAAACACTGTTCTGATTAACTCTTTTACGCTTAACTCATAATTTAGACATGAACCCCTAATTTAAACACAGTATAAAACATTCTGAACATCCTAGAGACAAAACAGATTTACAGTATTTGACTCCTTCTCCTTTATATTACTTGTGCTGTTTTACGTGTCTCACTAGGTCCCGTTTCCTTATAAAAGCTGCCTCACAGACAGAGCAGCTGAAGGGCTTTTCTCCAGTGTGGTGTCGTTTGTGTTCAATGAACGCACTGTGCCATTTAAAAGTTGCATTACAGATGGAGCACRTGTAAGGTTTTTCTCCAGTGTGACATCTCCTGTGATGATGCAAATTTTCCTTGTACTTGAAACACTGACCACAGTCGGAGCAGCTGAAAGGCTTTTCTCCACTGTGCGTCCTCATGTGCTGCACCAAGGAAGGTTTCCATTTAAAAGCTGCGTCACAAACGGAGCAGCTGAAGGGTTTTTCTCCCGTGTGGATCCTCATGTGTTTCATTAAAGCATATTTCCACGGAAAAGCCACTTGACAGACAGAGCAGCTGAAAGGTTTTTCTTTATTGTGACTTCTTTTGTGACTATTTAAACTGTCTCTGTGCTTGAAACACTGACCACAAACGGAGCAGTTGAAAGATTTTTCCTCGCTGTGCGTTTTCATGTGTTTCACCAAGGATGGTTTCCAAATAAAAGCTGCATCACAGACAGAGCAACTGTAAGGTTTTTTGTCAGAATGACATCTCATGTGGCGAGTTACACTTTCCTTTCTGCTGAAGTTCTGACCACAAACGGAGCAGCTGAAAGGCTTTTCTCCCGTGTGGATTCTGAGGTGTTTCTCTAAAACATGTTTCCATCTGAAATCCGCCTTACAGAAAGCACAGCTGAAAGGCCTTTCCCCTGTGTGGATTCGTTGGTGTATTAATAAATATTGCCTGCGTTTGAATGTTTTACCACATTCAGCGCAGCTGTGTACCTTTTTATCACCGTTTTTACACATTGCGCCAACAGGCACTTCATTAACATCTGCAGAATTTAAATCCGACTGAGCTTCACTGCTCTCCTCCCAGTTCCCGTCGCTGACGTCTGTGTCTGAAGTATTGGAGGGTTTCTCTTCAGGATCTGATTCTGGTCCCACATAGTCTTTGCTCTCCTCGGTTACGCTGAGATGAAGCTCTGACGACTGAGGTTTCTCTTCATCGTCTTCACTCTTCACCGGGCTGAATGTGAACCGTGTGATATCGGCCTSGTCCTGTTCCTCTTTAATCTGTGGGGAGGTTTGAGCCTCCTGGTCCAAACTGGGACTCCAGTTCTCTAGAGGAAGCTCCTCTTTGATCACAAACACCTGCTGGACATCTGCAGAAAACAGTTTACAGATCAATAAACGATTGAAAAAGAGAGTTTTTAAGGTAAAATACTACTTTTTCTCCAAATACTCAGTAAATTACAGGTTGTCCTATGATTTATTTTCATTTCAGAGTGTGAAGGATAAAAAAATACATCCATTCTTTGATAAGCACAGATAATCACCATCATCAAGCTGAGAAAACAGCTGCTCTCCATTCGGACAGTCTGGCCCTTCCACTGTTTGTTGCCTTTTCTCTATCACTTTCAACATWTTCAGCCACTGCAACAATTTTCTCTATGAACACAAACAGCGTCGTTCACTCCGGTCCCCTCATTTAGCTTCAAGCTAACCATGCTAAGCTAACATCTGTAGATTCGCAGCCAATTTATTCATCTAAGCAAACTTTAAAAAAATTAAAATTACAGAGAGCCATCCGGCATTTTCTATAAAACATACGGATTCTAATAATTCACTAAGCGAGGTTGTAATACAGAATGACACACGGACGCAGAAATGTTTACATCCGTCACTTACAGCTGCTGCTACGAGGAAACCACTTCCGCTGACGGGCGGAAAAAGAAGAAGCTGTCAAAATAAGAGCTCAGCAATTAAACACAATCATGTTGGTTCAGCTATACTTGTAGTTTCACATTTAATTTGTTCTGGTTAACAAAAATTACAAATGTGACAAATAATTAAACTGAGTCAAATCAAAAAAGCTAAATAAAGAAGAAAACGTATAAAAAGCTGAACTACCCAGCACTTTATCATTATCTTCTATGAGACATAAAGCAATGGCAATAAATAAATTACACGGATACTTATTTGTGTTATAGTTTTACTTAATTCACATTTAACAAAAATACAGCTTACATAATGTCAAAAAAGTTAAGTCTGTCAGGAGTCTTGTAAACCAGTACAGTTCATTTACCTTCAGAAACCATTGTTATGACAATTTAAAAGAACTAGAAAATCTGGATTCAAAAAAACAAAAAAGAAAGTTGACCAAAACATGTTGCAAAAAATTTCAAACCAGACACGTTTCAGAAATGCAGAAAACAAATTTCTTAACATAAGAACAAGCTGCTTTGAGACAGTCACTTCTGTTCATAGTTTATCTAAGACTACAAAATAAGAGCTCACATTGAACTATAGTTCCCCCCACCACCCCCTACTAATTCATTTTATTTATTCAAGGACAGAACATACAATAACACACATAAAAAGATGCATTACTTGCTGTGTGCAAATGCCTTTTAACTAATGAATATATTGTAGACCCTGCCTCTTGTTCAACTTTTAAGATAATAAACTTTTAAAACTAAAATAGAAGGCACCCTGTCTCTTGTTCAACTTTTAAGAGAATAAACTTTTAAAACTAAAATAAAAGGCTAAACATCTAGAACGTACCACGAAGCTGACAATAAAGAGCAACGATTAAACACACATATAAAATCAATACAAATAACAGAACAAAACATAAGCAGATCCAAGAGAAAAAAGTGTAAAGCAAAATCTGCAATATAAATAGATTTGTTTTATTTCACCTGAGAAACTAAAACTGAATAATCATTTTACATTTTTAATATTGTTGTTGCCAAATTTTTTCTAAATCTGAGGACCTCTTAACAAAACAAACAAAAAAATGCCTAAAGGATGTTTTGTTCTTGCATTAATTAACAACTCGATGGGACAGTTTTAACATAAAACTTGTGGCGAGTTACAAGACTAAACACATAAAATGTGAACGCCTCCGAATAAAAAATGCTATTTTTTTTGACAGATATCTTCATTTTAGACAAGAAGAAAGTACTTGTGAACACATGGATCTAAAAAGTCCACATGAATGAGAAAAGTAACAGAATTTTCCCCCAGAAGAATAACATTCAGATATTTGAACTTTTCAACAGTTATTTTAAGACATATTTGTTTGCCAAACGGACGTTTTTCTTCATAAATTGTAAGTTAATTAGCAAAGTTTCAAAATGCTTCAACCAGGGGGCAATGTAACCTCAATTGTAGCAAAGTAACTATCAGGAGAACAAAATAAAAGACTAAATTAGCATATATTGCTGTAAAATGTGTTTTCACACACTACTATTGCATCAGATGGCGTCTCTGTTACCCTGTTTCATCTGCTGCTTAAAATTCAGAGACAAAAGCACAAGTTCCAGAGAAATTAAACAGCAGATGAACAGTGTGTGAATAAAAAAGACACAGGAACCCAGATGCATCATAGTTCAGATGATACAAGTTCACAGGTTCAATGGTTTAACACAGTTTATCTTTAAATGTTCAAGTAAATAAAAATGGACTGAAAACATATGAAGCAGCAAAAACAYTGAATATCAAAAACCTGAAAAAATATATTGCCTCTAATACTTGTAAAACTTTACTGGAACATTTGGCTTCTTTGAAAATGTAAAGTAACGAAGAAGTCGAGACTTGTGTGCGTTACTTTAAACCACACATACTGCTCAAACACGCAGGAGCTTATCTACACTTCTCATTTAAAGCACCATCGAGCTAACAGTATATTTTAAACTCAGACATGAAGTAGTTCTGAATTGTTTTATGCATCTGCCTCTGTGTTCAATAATCAGTCTCTATAAAGCAGCTGTAATCTCGTGCTTTAGCTGYTGATGACTGAGTGAATCTTTGGTTGCAGCTGAAAAGCTAATGACTCTTCTCTCGTGCTGCAGTCAAGATTTGTTTTTACAAAGCAGCTGATAAGTCCTGCTTATTTATGACACTTCGTGTAGCAAGTGAGGTATCTGGTTTTTACTGACGCTTTGGCTTCAGACTCTACAGCTGAACAATTATTCACCTGCATGGGTTTTCATGTGCTCCACGAAATCCTGTTCGTTTCCAAACGCAGCATCACAGTCCGAGCAGCTGAAGTTTTTCCCTCCACAGCGGGTTCTTGTGTGCGTTAAAAAAACGTTTCTCCACCTGAAGGCCTCCTTRCAGACGGAGCAGCTGAAAGGTTTTTCTCCCGTGTGACGCCTCATGTGACGAGTCAGCGTTGACTTTTGGCTGAAGCTCTGGTCGCAGACMGAGCAGCAGAACGGCTTCTCTCCGGTGTGCGTTCGTGTGTGTTCCACTAAGGCGTATTTTCGCTTAAAAGCTGCGCTGCAGACGGAGCACGTGAATGGTCTGTCGTCCGTGTGCTCCTTTGTGTGTTTCACTAAATCGTGCTTCCTTCTAAAAGCCGCACTGCAGATGGAGCAGCTGAAAGGCCTCTCCTCGGTGTGGATGACCGTGTGTTTCACTAATTCTTGTTTCCTCAAAAACGTTTTTGCGCAAACTGAGCAGCTGAACGATTTCCCTCCTGTGTGGATTTTGACGTGCTCCACAAGAACGTATCTCCACCTGAAGGTTGCCTTACAGATAGGACAGCATAAAGGTTTCTCCCCCGTGTGACAGGTCATGTGACTAGTTACACTATCTTTCCGTCTGAACCTCTGACCACAGAGTGAGCAGCTGAAAGGTTTCTCTCCTGTGTGAATCCTGCTGTGCCTCAGCAGTCGCCACCTGTAGTCGAATGTTCTGTCACATTCGGTGCAGCTGTAAAACTTCTTACTGCTCTCTACGGGATCTTTATTAGCACTGAGAGGATTTAAACGCCCACTCTCCTCCCAGTTTCCATTACCGTTTTCCACTTCTGGAGAATCTGTAGTTTGGTCCACTGAGTCGGATTCCAAATCCTGATCTGGAGCAGAGGTTCCTCCATTCTCGACAGTCCAGCCGCGATGAAGCTTCTGAGGTTTCTCTTCATCATCTCTGCTCATCACAGCAGCAGGACTGAATGTGAAYTCGGTGATGTCAGCCTCCTTCTGTTCCTCTTTAATCTGTGGGGACGTTTGAACCTCCTGGTCTACGCTGGTTTGGTTACGCAGCTCTGAAGGGAACTCCTTTTTGGTCACCAACATTCGCTGGATGCCTGCAGGAAACAGACATGCAGGCAAATGTTAGAACCAAATATGTTTGTATTATTACTAAGGCTGCRCGAAGCATTTTGATTTTCTTGTCATTGCAAAGGACTGTAACAAATCACAGCCTAACTTGATTTCAGGTAACTTGTATTCATGTTCTGCTAATAATAATATACTTGGTTAATCTAATAGACTCATTGCAAACTGCTTTTGTTGCACCTTGACTGTGAAAAGTCTTCCTCTGGTGCGACATCTAAAATGGTAAGTTTTATAATTCCTTCTGTCTGAGGTTAGAAATGTTTTTCAGAGAAGCTGAAAGGTTTTTCTCATGCTTGGATTATTTGTCTAAACAACCTGTAGTGGTTGTTTCATCACAATCAGTGCAGCTGTAAACTTCTTACCGTTCTCACGTCTTCTATCCTCAACAGAAATGTTTTGATTATTCCTGAGGCAGTTTAAACCTGATGGACGTTCACCACTCTCCTCCCAGCTTCCATCCCTGTCATCTGAAGCTTTGTCTTCATGATATGATTCCAAACACGAACAGAGATCCGGTCTTGGTCCTGCAGAGTCTCTGCTTTCTTCCGTCTGGTTAAGGTGACGCTCTGGGGACTGAGGTTTCTCGTCATCATCTTCACTATATACAGAGGCAGGACTGAAGGTGAACGCTATGATATCAGCTTCCTCCTGTTCATTTTTAATCTGTGGAAGCTTTAGGTCCTTTTGGTCTGGTCCGAGACTCAAGTGGTCAGGCAAAACCTCCTTTTTGATTATCGACAGCCGCTGTACGTCTAAAGGAAACAAATACAAGCAAGTTTCAGTCTTGTGTTATATTTGAATAGCAGAAACAAGATATAGAAACATACTGTTTTGAAATACCTCTTAAAAGTGCTTAAATATATTAAAAAGACTTATTTTGGTAAAATAAATACATTCAGTCATTTAAACACATGCCAAAGTCACGGTGTGTTTTTAACTCATGAGTTATTTTTGTCTTAAATAACAGATTTAACCAATCGKGGTACTTTTTTTCTGAGTTGTGTTCAGATCAAATGCACCTTAATAGAAAATCTTTTCAAGTCTACTTTGGTTTAAAGGTGTACATCATGCCTTTTTAATTGTGCTGGTGGTTTTAAAGGCCTAAAGTAAATAAAATAAGATATGTAAATTTAAAAAAAATACATGGATACCATCTTGAGGGTCCATTTGCTCGTTCTATGTTGGTTCGTCCGTCTCAGTTAGCTGTCTTTTCTCCAAACATCTGAACTTCTGAGGATTTCCCACAATCAGAGCAGAAACTTTACCCTCTTAACCTCCATCAGAAACAGTCTGGTCTTCAGGACGTGTCGCTCTGATTCGCTGTTGCCGCGACTGTGTCTGCTTCCAGCTAACATGCTAAGCTAACGCACGTAACTTTTGTTGTTCATGCGAAAAAAAAATAGCTTATCCCACCCACCCCCACCCCCCTAATGTTTACAAATGAAGTAAAAGGCGAAACAMGATACACGATTTCAAAGAGCGCATGAGCCGGAAATGACGTCAACATCCTGCGACTGGCAGAAAACCTGGCGCATAAACATTTGAACTGAATTCAGCAGGCTACTTTATTTTTTTATATTTAATTATTTTTAGTTAAATAAACATAAAAGCATGCTCAAAATATATAATACTTTGCGGAAAATTCGCGTATTTGTATATTTTTCTTGATGGTTTTAATATTTTTATGAGCCTAGCTTTCTGAAAGACACAATCTGACAATCAATTAAGAAACCAAGACTTTCTTGAAAAAGACAAACAAAACATTTGAGCTGTGAAAGGAAACAAGAAGAGAAACAATCAGTTATATTGCTGCTAATTTACAAATGAGTCTCATCTACTGCTGAATGAATGAATGAATGAATGAATGAATGAATGAATGAATGAATGAATGAATGAATGAATGAATGAATGAATGAATCTTTATAGATCCTGTCGTGGAAATCTTTATCTTACCTAGACAAAAACATGAGATCCAAGAACAAAAAGTACTCCGTGAAAGGCCAATCAGGATTTATTGCAATATGCAAGAAGAAATGTAGGGCTCTAAAAGATCATTTATTTTTCCAAGACAGTTCCTTCCTCTTGATCACTAAAATAATTTGGAAAAATAATTGTCATTTCAAAAAACTTGAACCAATTATTGGTCTAAACAAGTCCTAAGCTGAACTTTTAAATAAGCAATCGACCAAGAAAATACTGGTCTTTCTCAAAAAATTAGCATATTGTGATAAAGTTCATTATTTTCTGTAATGTACTGATAAACATTAAACTTTCATATATTTTAGATTCATTGCACACCAACTGAAGTAGTTCAAGCCTTTTTTCTGGTTCAAAACCGACACTTTTGAACCAGAAAA